TTATTTATTTATTTTTTCAATACAGACTGGATACTTTGTAATTTTTGTTTAAAATTATAACACACGTGGGAACTGAAAAAAAATATTATAGAGGAAATTTAAGCACAAACTAATAGGAAGAATTGTAAATGAATATTTTATTGTATAGTATCAGCTTTTTTCTTTTTCATCTTTTCAGCGACTTGAATTAAAAGCAACATTTTCTATAGAAAAGGCTTAATCCGATAAGTAATTTTGAGACTGCCACAGATTAACGTATATAAATACTAAAATATTATGTGCCAATTCATACAAACACTTTCTTTCTTGTGTTTTATCTGCTACGTTGCAATATACATGTTAAAACGCAAAAGGCAATAAAAATGAAAAGTACTTATACAAATATAATTTTAAAAACTTCTACACGATACTCTATTGTTAATAATACCACCACCATTCAAGTGTGACCAGATGGTTAGAGTACTTGACTCGCAATGTGAGGGTCGCGGGTTCGAATCCCCGTCCCACCAAATATGCTCGCCCTTTCAGCCGTGAGGGCGATGTTATGTGACTATCAATACCACTATTCGTTGGTAAAAGAGTAGTCCAAAAGTTGGCGGTGGGTGTTAATGACTAGTTACCTTCCCATTAGTCTTACACTGTTAAATTAGGGACCGCTAGCGCAGATAGCGCTCGTGTAGATTTGCGCGAAATTCAAAACAAACAAACCATACAAGTGTTTCTGTTCTAAAACCTTTAACGTTACTATACAAAGACACAACTTTCAGCTTTTTTTGGTATTTTCATGTCTTAAAATACGTTAGTAAGATATTTATTCCGAGTAAATTGACACACAATTAAATAAATTACAAAATATAATAATTACGTATAAATTTTAATTGTGGTAAACTAGTGCAGTAGATAAGTTCATTTTTGCATAATGTTTTTTATGTCCTTTGTTTACTTTAGTATGTCATATCAAAGAAAATTGTTTTCTGTGATTATACATAATAAATAACCAAGAAGCTTTTCATTTTACTTACACATAAAATTTTAAAGTGCTTAATTCTACACCCATATACAATAAACTGTTAAACACCAAATTATTAATCTTTACCAATTGCATAAACAAACATAATGGCATTGATGTTTCCCCCAAGCCTCAATTACCGAAATGTCAATGGATGAAACCGGTCCTTATTTAGACCAAGTTTTGTTCCAACTCCAAGGTATGCATGAAGGTGTGGCAGTTTCCTTCATTTTTGCGTTGTCACGGATATGCCGGTAAATAAGGTGATGGATTAGGTAAGCAACGCGGCTTAATCTTTAAACAGACGCGTCTGTTTTGTGTGTGTGTGTGTTTTACCTAACAAACAAATTATATATCTTTCTTACCTTTTATCTCTTCTTTCTGTCACTTCTTCAGTCCTTACCCTAGATTTGGATACGATATATTTAATCGTGTCCAGTACATGTGATAAAACTTATCAGAAAAAATGCTAGACTAGACTACAATAAATATATTCGCAACCAGCAGCATCAAAAACGACCTTGTACAGGTGTGCTGCAAGTCGATTTTAAAGCCTCACACACTTAAGACGCTTCTTATATGGTGGTCGAACGAACCTGTATAACTAGCCCACAAAATCTGCCCTCCGGCTTTAAGCCTGATAGGACAAAACTAGTTTCAAAGCACGTGTTGAGTACTACCATGACACGAATGCCCCAACAACAATTAAAGAACGTCCTAAAAATTGTGCAGAGTTACGTAATCTCTCATCATTCGATATCTTATTCTGCCGATTACTACATAATTATAACAAGTTGAGTAGACCATATACTCTAGGTTGATCAGCTGTAGTGAAGCAAATCCATTGATTTCTTTTTACTATTAAATTAAAAGTGACACTACTCAAACTCTGATTTTAAGAAGATGTGTGTGTGTGTATTTGATAATTAGTTATATATTCTGTATTAAATATTTTGATCGCGCCTTCTGTGAATTAAATTAACAGAAGGAGCAAGCGTGCTTCTAAAAATATTGTAAAGAACTATAATTATATAAAGTTACGTTCATACCTAGTGTTACAAGATTGTTTTTAATTATTACCATATTTTGGGCCAAATTTTCACATCTAATTGTTCTCTGATCTCTTCTTCCGTATTTTAATAACTGTTTATTTTTTATTTTGTATCTGAACAATATATATATATATATTATATTATATTAAATATTTTGCCCGCGCCATCTGTTGATCAGGTTAACAGAAGGAACAAGCCTGTTCCTAAAAAGTATTATAAAGAATTATAAATACATAAACTTAAATCCATTCCCATTGTTATAAGATTGTATTTTTTCTTATCTTATTTTGGATAGAATTTTCCCGTGTAACTTTTAACCAATCGCTTCCTTCTGTTAATAATTGTTTACTTTTTATTTTGCATCTGAAGAATCCAAGTTTGTTATTTCAAGATTTTTATCGAAACACAGTAAGTGATCACCTTAATTATAAGTGATGTAATGAGAACTTTGGTTTTGGGTTTCTAGCCTGTTAACAGTCTACACTTACTAAAAATATTGTTTCTATTGGTTCATTAATTGGTTCTTAATCGCTATGTTGTTTGTGTGTAATGTAAATGATTTGCTTGTGGCGTCTTAACAGTTTCCATGACCAACTCTAGTGGGTTTTGTATTCATAGTGAAAAACTTATTTAGTTTACACCTGTCTTTGACGCTGTCTTTTTATCGTTAATTTGCAGGTTCTACTTTGAAACCAAAATCTTTAAAAGTAATGAATTATGTTTATTCGATGAAGAATGAATCGTTTCCAATTTGCCCCCTGGTGATACGAAGGACAAGCTAGAAATGCAGACGATTCACACAACAATGGCTCGCTTTCGTCATTTTCATGTTTTTAAACAAAGAAGACCATAGAGAATTATTTATATTTCTATTAATACTGCTTTGATTAAATTATTCCGGCACTAAAATTATTAAGTATTTTTCAAAAGAATTTTCTGAAATTAAAGTGTTAAGAAAGAGGGGTTTTATAAAACATTAATATGTGTAACACATTTTTATGGTTTTTTTTTCATGTTTTATGTGGCTTACTTTCAACAGATATAAACGTTTTATTGCTTTCTCGCCTCTGTACGCGTACCGTTGTCAATTTCGATTAGTGGATTTCCACCTACCTATGGAAATCTGTAAATCAGTGTTATATTATGGAAATATTCAGTTACTTGGATTTTGGTTCTACGTTACAAATCACGCGAATCTGTTATACTGCTTTATCCCCTGTGTCAGAACAACAAAATCCTTAACAGTTGAAATATAAATCTGTAAAAATAATGTTCTCGTCAATAGAAAGTCGTTTACATCTAACGCTACGGCTTCATAAAAATTAAAATATAAGTTTGATGCTCATTTACTGTTCAGAAACATTATGAAATATTTCTACCAGTGCAACGTGTCATTAGAAAATACATAAAGAACACTTGGAGCTCTTCTTTGGTGACATTAATTTTTGTTTCTTTCTGGAATTTCGTACAAAACTACTCGAGTGTTATCTGCGCCCGCTAACCCTAATTTAGAAGCGATGCATTAGAGAGAAGGCAGTTAATCAACACCACCCACCATCAACTCTTGGGCTACTCTTATCAACTAAAACGTAGGATTAACTATCATGTTATAACGCCCCCGCGGCTAAGAGAACGAGCATGTTCAATGACTAGATTCGAACTCGCGATCCGCAGATTGGAAGTGGAGCTCCCTAACCACAGGGCTATGTCAGGCCCTGGTGACGTTAGAAGTAGAAATACTTGCTATTAGCTGTTAAAGAAAATGACATCATTAATAGCAAAACATTGTATAACCCCGCGTAATGTCACTAAAATGCTATTCATGACAGATAAATATAAGAATTACCATTAGCACCAAAAGTTTTTTTTTAATATGAACAAAACCATTAACAACTAGAAAGACTAAATACTTGTGTAGAAAGCTTTATAAATATCCTCGAAGCTTTAATGATGATGGATGAACCTGTAGTATTATCAAGGATACAATATTTATATAGCCATATGACACTGGAATAATCTCTTACAACAATTTGTATATGAAAGAACCTACTTAATTAAGACAAGTGTGTTAAAAATATAATTCCTAGAGTAAATTCTTGCAGTGATACCAAACAAATAAAAATGCACTATGAACAGACCTTCACTCGTACGTGTGGCAACAACCTCTTTGTTACGTTAAATTCTATGATTTATTGCTAAAGATAGAAAACAATAATTTTAATGATTTTTTTAAATTCAAGTAGAATATTGAAAGAGAGCTTCTGCCTATTAATAGCCACGTATAATATCTTCAAAAAAAAATAAAGATTGGATTCCAAAAGAATTCATTTCTATACAAACCTGTAAAATCAGCGTGGATGCATCTGAATAACTTTAAAGTCCAACTTAATTGTATATGTCAATTCTGTTTTTTAGCTACTTTTTAAAATGAATGATTCCAGATAAAGCTTATGAAATATTAAAACAAAACGAGAAAAACATTAAAATTCAAACTGAATGTAAAAAGTTAGTGCTTTCGAGAGAGAGTGTTTATTGTTAGTTATCAATACTGCACAGTCGAGAGATCCATAAAAACTACAATAACTTGTGACAAAACACTTATCATCATCTTCATCATCGGGATTCGGTCCATGTTTCGGACCAGGTTTCGGGTTTGGTTTGCTTTGAATTTCGCGCAAAGCTACTACGGAGGCTAGCTACATTAGCCGTTCCTAAGTTAGCAGTGGTAGACTAGAAAGAAGGTAGCTAGTCAACATCACCCACCGCCAACTTTTGGACTACTTTTTTTTACCAAAGAATAGAGGGATTGACCGTAATATTATAACGCCCCCACTGCTGAAGGGGCGAGCATGTTCGGTGACTAAGTTCTTGGAATGTCCAATCAAGCAGAAGAGTAGCTCAAGAGTTTACAGAGGGCGCTGTTGACTAGTTGACCTCCATCAAGTCTATGAGTTCAAAATCAGGAAGTCATACGTAAATAATCTTTGTGCAGCTGCGCGCGAAGTTCTAAAATAAACTATTTGAGCGGATATAACCGTTTTACTTATGATTATACAACTGTTCAATTTTATGGTTTTGAAAATATTGCATGAGAAAAAATGTTCGGTTGTGAACTGATATGAATTTGGTATGCCATTGGGCCCTAAAGATATTAATTTTAATAATTATTAACGTATTTCAGTATTTTTAGCAGCATGGTTTTTAACTCCAAAAAAGGATAGGTATTAATCTGTCTTTAGTTCATGTCTTTGAAATTAAATTATAGTTTTAGAATATGTAATGCTGACGAAGTTAAGTTATATTTCTAGCTTAAATATCTAGAAATTACGCTTATCTTCATTAAAATAAATATTCGTATTAAAACGTAATTACAAAATCCATATTTTAATAGAACATTACCGGATTGGACCAATCTATCGGTCTTTGGGTTAGACTTGATTGATTTATGGCAAATTAAAATATTAGTAACCATATCATGCATATTCTACCTTATGGGCCCGGCATGGCCAGGTGGTTAGGGCGCTCGACTCGCAATCCGAGGGTCGTGGGTTCGAATCCCCGTCACACCAAACATGCTCGCCCTTTCAGCCGTGGGGCGTTATAATGTGACGGTCAATCCCACTATTCGTTGGTAAAAGAGTAGCCCAAGAGTTGGCGGTGGGTGGTGATGACTAGCTGCCTTCTCTCTAGTCTTACACTGCTAAATTAGGGACGGCTAGCGCAGATAGCCCTCGTGTAGCTTTGCGCGAAATTCAAAAAACAAACAAACAAACACTTCGACGTCACTATTTTTCTTTAGTTCTGCAGCGTTAATAGGACACATTAATATTGTTGTACAGCGATGAGTTTTTCAAACATTTTTTTGCTTAGTCAGGGGTATGTTCGGTTTTCAAATAACACGTGTTCAAGCCAAGGAGGACGTTAACTTTATCTTGTTTTATTTGCTTTTGTTATTTTTCATCCCTTGAAGATAATACCTGGTTTGACCATGAGTGAGTATGGCTATAAACCTGCACCTTGTGCATAAAGATCGACAGCAGTATTATCCAGCGGTAGGTATGGGGATTATCAGTCACGTGGTTAGTCGCTCTAGGTAAGTCTAATGTAACCTGTTCAGTAAAGTAACGTGAGAATTGACAGTCTGAAACATCATCCTGAGGAAGTCGATCAGTTTGTAAATAAACCTTAAAATATAAAAAATCTCATCGATCCATCTCTTCAGTAAAGGCGACTGCCCGTCGTTCAAAGGTATTGTACATATAACTGTTGCTTTGTGTTGTTTAAATAGAGATTGTTTCATTGTGATTAACACGTCTTATACAGTCCATTTATTTCTTAACACAGACTCATTTAGTTTTAGTTGAACTTAGTGTTTTCAACATATCTTGCCGAACCTTCTGTTATATAGC